CTTCCACGCTGGCAACGAGTTGGCATGCGTTGTCGCTTACGCGCTGCCGAGATAAAACGTATTTGGCAAAGATCAAAGTAACAGGCAACCGCATGACAGAAAATGACAAGGAAAATGGAAGCACAAACTTGGGAATAAATTACTAAAGTGAAGAACTAACCGTTTCATGCTCATCGGCTTCAGCAAGCATCTTCAAATCTGTTTTACTAACGATATTCGAAAAATCTGAAACAAAAACACTTCAAAACGAATGGTCCGGAGAAAATTTACTTACAGATATAATATTGTGCATAGCGCGGATTTCTTAACTCAGATGCCAAGAGCTGAACATTGTCAGGAGTGGGTCGAACAAACACAAGACATTTTAAGTGTTTAATCGCTTCTCGAGGTACTGGCGAGTCAAGACGCTCGAATAGATAAACCTAAGCAATGGTGATAAAGCAACACATGAATAGTATAAATATGACGGGCAAACAAATAGCAATACACAAACAAAGAGAACCCAAATACAAAAATAAGAAATAAAAAAGTATTACTAAGTCAACTCACTTCTTTCTGCATCATTTCTGACTGTGCAAAAGCGCATGATACGATTGTGGTCTAAAAATTGAATTTTGCCGAAAAACCTAAAAATTAAACCTTAGGGCGCACCGTTTCCTTATCCATGAGAATAACTTTCATCTGTGGGCCAGCCAGGTTGACCATCTCCTTAATATAAGCACGTGCCGTGCCAAGAACATCCATTTCATAAGGAGTTTACTGCAAAATTACTTCAGAAAAAATAACTGTAATCCACTTAAAGCCGTGCGAACTCAAAATCATAGCTGGAAATGTTGAATTCAGGCAAATAAAACACTAGAAAAAATACTACAGATCATAATCTCCAATGGAAAGCATTTGTTGTATAAAGCCAGAATTTCATTAAGTAATGAAAAGTAGATCTGCAAATGCGTTCATAAGTTGGAAGCCTTTAGAAAGCTCAGAAAGCTTACCAGATATTATTGGGGCTCATAAAGTGTCGAAAAATGCATTAAAGTATAAAGAAATAAAGTAATGAAGGT